CCCGAAGCCATATTTTAAAATCAAAAGTTAAAGGATAGGAAGGCAGGTTCTGGAAACCAAACCAGTCCTTTTTGTTTCTTTAGCGGATAGTTTTATTGTGTCATTTTCAAAACTTTTGAAATCACCATCTTGAATGAAAACAGAACAGCTTTACGGGCCCGTTAAGTTACCGGGACTTTCGAGAAACGGGCTCCTGGCGTCACATGTGGGTTGAGTTTGTTGTTGGTTCTCGTCCTTGCTCCAAAGGTTTTTCTCCGCGTCCTCCGGTTTTCCTCCCTCCGCAAAAACCAACATTCCAAATTCCAATTTGATCTGGAAACAGTGGAAAAGAAGAGCCACCCAGTGGAATGTCCAGTGCTAAATTATTTATTATTTATCAACACGGTCGTGAGCCAAGATGGCAGCCGATTTTTTGTATTTTGACTGGGCACAGAAAATTGAAGATTTGAGCAAATAAAAAAAATTTTGGACAGAAATACTCCAAAAAATACGCTTATTTCGTTACGCCAAAAATTATTTTGGGGTTTGGGAGCACTTTAAGCATTTGCCACAAACAGGAGACAAAGAAAATCTGAGTTCCTCCTTCCTCCTGATAAGTTTTAGTATTCTCATTAACTGTTTGCTGGACAATTATGGACATTTTACAAAGAAGTTACATGTTAATTACTTCTGCAATTAATAGAATAATTATAATATCAAAATATTGATTAGTGTGTGAATAATCTCACTAATTGTCTTACAATGTTTATCAAATGAAATATTGTCTTCCATGAAAGGTTCAAAGTCACTTCTATGATCTCTCATGTATTTAACTGTTTCCCTTCTGTGCCGCAAATGTGATGTGTGATCTCCTTCAATTTGATCCCCCAGAGCACGAAACAAGCAATTTCTAGAAAAAGAAGATGAAAAAAACAAAACAAAACAAAACTGTTACTCATTGCCGATGGGAATGGAGAAAGAAACAGAGAAAAAATTATAAGCTTAAATAATTTTAGTTCACAACCTCTTCAGAGAGCTAAGAGAGAGAGCTCCTTTTAACTGTACAGTAAACAGTCTGGGAAAATGTAACATTTCTATTATAATGCTTTACATATGTTCACCTAAAATTAAACTTTTGTTTTTACTACTACAACTGCTCCTGCCAATGCACACACAATAAACACTATGGAAATATGAAATGAAGAGTACATGTTCTGGGTACTAAATGGGACGTGCGACTTAAGTTGATGAATAATTCTCGATTGGATTTCCGGTTGTCAAGCCACAAGTTCTGTTTCATCTAAATGCGGAAGAAAAAATCTAAGCTTTTCATGTAACAATTACTGCCTCCAGATTTCAATCAAGACAACTGATGCCTTGACTGCCAGAATAAATTATTGCTCAAAAGGCTTTCACTTTCAATTCTAAACTGAGACTCACCCGTCACCTGGGATGTCCTTTATCTTCAGACTTAATGCTGCAAGTTGATTCGAGAAGCTGACAAAATCTTCATCATCAGCGAGGTATTCCTTTATTTTCCGTTCCTTCTTTAGAGCGTTTCTTCTCACTCGATCATCTCGTTTTCTTTCCACATCGTCTCTACGTTGTCCTTTCGTTTGTTTCTTGTTTGCACCGCCTTTTGTCATGGTTAAGATCGGGATTGATCGCCAAGTAAGCAGTGTTCAAAGTTGTTTCTGAAATCTTAGTACGTTTGAGGCTTCCTTACTGCTTCACCTCCACACGGCTGTAGTAGATAATCCATTAAGGGGTGAGACTTCTATTTACAGTTAGTATAACAACGAAGCAACTACGAATAAAATGTGAGGAACTATAAATAGCTTTGACTTTCTCCACGGTTTTGTCAAGGCGGCCACCATGTTGACCATGCTCGTTGATGGTGCAATGTTATGCTACATTTTAGTGAAGATTACATCAATAATGTTAATAACCAGATAATTTACCGATGGTCCGAACACGCGGGCTCTATAAAAGATCCTGATTGGTTAGACTACGACTGACAAGATTCTTTCCCTTCACAGGTCTTCTTTCCTTGTTAACTGCGATTTAAAGGACTTTCGGTCAGATTCTGTGCAGACAACACAGGTTGCTGAAATAAACACAACACACAAAAAGGAAAAACAAGAAAAGCCAAAAACATAGGGTCAAAACCAGCAAGATCAACGATGGCACTGGTATCTTTCAGTAATCACTGGTTTTCAGACAGTAGGCCTTTACAGATTATGCTATTAAAAGTAGCATATTATGCTGGTAGCATTGCTTTTTTTTTGGCGAAATTATGCTAAAATAATGCTCTTTTTTTTTTCCAAATTATGCCCCTTTTTTAAAATTATGCTCTTTGAAAAAATTGCAAATAAGTCCAAAAAATTCATTTTTTAATTAGAAGCCGTTAGCCTACAGGAAAGAAACGCAACAAGTCCACAATGAAATTCAAATAAACATGTGGTTCATGTGAACATGTACACTAGTACTAGACTATACATGGTCTACAATGTGACTTCCGGTTCCGGTGCACTCCAGACCCGGGCCCAGACAGTTACAGACGCCGCTCAGTGATTCACAGTAAACTACAAATGCTACTACTTGAACTAAAACTTAAAACATCGAATAACGTCACCAAGTGCTTGGGAGTAGAGATGAACAATGATCAAATTGTAGCATCAAAAATGATCCGATAATTATCAAAATATGTGAATTACGCTAGCATTGCTACTTGGCAGAAATTATGCCAGTTTGCTCAAATTATGCCAAACATTATGCTAGCATAATCTATAAAGGCCTATCGGAAAGCAAAGAGGCATCGAGTGTTAACCCTTTACACCTTAACATCAGTGTCCATATTCTCCATACTCCTTTCTATGCATTTCCTTTGGTCCCGACAAGGAGAATTTGTTTAACGATCCAGAAGTTACTCAGATAGCGACTAAATTCCTTTATTCTTGGGACTGTACTGTTTGACTTATCAGTGATATAGTGGGGAGAAATTAGATGTTCTTCAATCTTATGGATTAAAGTGTTAATAGGGCGAGTCAATTACACTCAGTTCTTTATTAAACGGTTGCTTTATTTCCCTTGAATTTGTTTTGCAAACGTTCCTTGGTTTACCAATGACTATAAAACACATATCTGTCCTTTCTGAGTTAAAGCTTGTGCTGAAAATACTTACGAGAAAAATACCGAAAGCAGCAATTACCTAAGTCTTCTTAAGTGAAATCATACGAACACTTATATTCTATGCCAAAGTGCCCACTTGGAAATGATAATGCTGCGTCGGTTAGAGGGGGGGGGGGGAGTTACAAGATAATTTGTTTTATTAGCTGAGTTGATAATGTTGATTGGCCCGTAAAGAGTTTTTACTGCTGACCTTTGTTAGCCGTTTGTCAGAGCACTGGTCTTGTAAGTAGCTGAATTATGCTTAGACAAAAATCCCGAAATACATCACACATTTTCCAACTTTTTGCTGAAAACACTTCCACCTCCCTCCCGTTTTGTAGTTACAACTAACTGTAATTAAAACAAGCATTTCCAACTTTCTTTTTGTTCCCTTTTTCCTGGTTGCTTCTCCCATGAACTAAAAGTCGTCTCAACTAGAGCGCCATTTTGACTGAGTCTGCAACTGATCACACTAAATTAATCGGAGGAAATCATAAATGAACACACTATAAACTCATTTCTTTGTTGTTTTGCACAAAATTTATTTCACTTCATTTGCACAAAAAAAGCACTTGGATTTCTTGAAAAACCCCTCCTTTTCTTGTCCACACATGGCTTACATTAAAAATATCATGGATGTTAAAAGAGCCTAATAAACATACATCATATATCAATCCCTTTAAATATTGCATTGCATTGACCTCAATTGATAAAATTAGCATTTGGCACACGAGCCACTCCTTAGCAACTGTCCTCATGTAAGTTGCACTCAGGTTTCCATTCCTAGTTTAAGGTCGGCGCTTTCAAGTCGATGAAAAGTTAATAAACTTTCTTGTGAATGACGTCTTCTCATCATAAATTTTTCCATCTTCCTCAATGAGAAGCAGTTATAGCTAATGTTGCTGTGGATTTTTGCTGTTGTTGGAGGCCACTTGCACACACCACTTCGAAATCTCTTTCAAATTTTACCCAAAAGTCGCCGAAGACAAAACCTTCTTGGATACAATTTTCCTCAAAGAGCAATCGAATACTGATGGCGCTCCTCCCAAAAATGAAACGATTGTCACGCTTGTAAAGTTTAAACAGTAATCGCTCCATCATTGTGTGAATCCGTGTGAAATACTGCGTTAAGATGATCCAAATCACGTGTATCGACTGCTCTATGAAGGTCAGATTTACCCATAAGTGACAGAGTCATGCGCAGTGTCGACCAAATGTTGTCGGACATCGTAGAGACCGCCGCTCCTGGTCCAACTGTACCCTGGGTAAGGAGTGGTATTCGAATAGATGTAAGTTAAGGACAATCCCGCGACGCTTACACAGAATTATTCTATGAGCAGTTTTCCGCGAAGTAAGGAAATGGCATAGGTGAAACGTTTGGAGCCAAACAGAAACAAAGCACCACTTCATATTTTCATAAATTTATGGGTGCATTTATTAGTCCGGTAGTTTTTGGTGATGGCTAAATACGGAAACTACTTTGTGACAGTTCTGTGACTAAGGACGTTGTAACAGGGTTTTGGCACTTTTGGCGAGCCTGAGCTGACCTTGACTACGTATACGTCATAGGTTGACTATTTAACCAGTACCATACTCCGCTTCACTTAACAATTATTCCATCTACTGAAATACCACGCTCCGAGAGAAAATGACTTCTTAAAGCCTAACGCTGCGGCAACTAAGCTCGAGTATTTCGCACGGAAAAACTCACTAGCGGGGTTTCTTTTGTCATTAAGAGTACTTCATCCTGCAATTTAACCTAGTCCTTGCTCACCACTGACAAATGAAATCCGAGTATCTCCTTATTAGGGATAGACAATACCTTTCTCTGCATATTCAACGCAGTTAGCAGGTGATCCACCGCTTGTCTGTGAGCATTCAAGTTAATGCAGCTAATTCCCAAATTGTATCGACACCGGATAAACCCCGGGCTTAGATTCAGCGCATGTCTGTATGCATCGACTGCTTCCTCACTGCGCCCGCCGTTCGCCAACGTGGCTCCTAATCTGTTCCATAGAAGAGCATCATTTGGCAGGGCGTGCAACCCTGCTTGGAAACAATCAACCGCCTTGTCATACTCCCCAGACAAGTTAAACAAAACTCCGAGACCGACCTGTGAGGGGAGGGAAGAGGAGAAAAAATTAAAAAAAAAAACTTACAACGGCGATAAAAGTAAGTCGCGCGGTGAACAGGGTTGGGAGGAATTCTGGGAAACTAGTCCTGCTACTTTAAAAGGGTGCAATTAAGATGTTAAGTTGGAGAACCAATAAATGATATACGCGCAATCATAAGTTGGATTGGAGGGCTTGAACTAAAAAAAAAAAAAAAACTTGGCCGAGCACACAGTAGCGAGGCTTACAGGTAAACTAGTTTTTTCAACTTCTGTACATAGTTCGATCACACAAGTAAAATACTTTTCTGATGGAACTATTTAAGAAAGAAAGACCAAATGGGGCAATTTGAACCAAAGAAAAATTTTGTTCGCCTTTTAAAATTTTCTTTTACACGAAAAGTTTACTAGTGAGCTTCGAGTTGATGTACTAGACCCAAAACTTTTTTGCTCAAGTACAAACATATTGAACGGCTACCATAGCTTACCTGTACATTTGCGTCAATATCATTCACTGGAGCCCTTTGTGCAGCTGTTATATACAAGTCTCTTATCTCATTGTACATCTCCGAAGACATGATAGATGACGTCACTAACCGCGACCGCGCACCGGTCTCTGATTCCGCGGGTTCATTAGCCACTAGGTCATTGTACCTGACAATGGAATAACGTCAAACAGTTACTTCCTGCAAGTGTAAGTTACACGTAATAGAACATCACAAGCATGTTGTTTGATGCTAGATCCAGGAGAGGGCGTCCAGCCCTTTGCAAATAAACATCACCATTTCAATAATCATTATAAATTAATTTGGTTCTAACAAATGAGTTCATAATTTAAATTAGCCACCATAAACATTTTCTAAAGCTGACCTTTCGAACGTTAGCCCTTCGTCAGAGCGAACACCTTCCTCTATAATACCCCCCCCCCCTAATGATGCAGTACCACAGCTTCTCAAGAAACCTACCCGCTTGTTTCACTATTTACAGTATATCATACTCACCGTGGGTTAGCCTTTAACCAAGCCTTTAAGGTTCGACAAGCCTGAAAAAAAAATTTTTCAAAATATTTTAGAGAAAATAAATCCTCTTCAGAGAGATACGTCTTGCACCGTGCGAGTCCTCGTACACAACTCAAGAGGAGATTATCATGTCAGGCCAATCCTAAGGTAGTTAGAGCACCTTCCAATTGGGAGCAGAGAGTAATCCACGATTGTAGTGGTTTATCTTTAGAGCAATTTTAAAACTGAATGTCGAAAGAAATCTGGAATAACTTTGTCTTTGCTTTACTTTGCTTTGTGACTGGCCCAGAAAACTCGCGCCAGCCTCTGGACCAATCAGATGCAATACTAAAACCAATCACGACTTAGTCACCCGCGTTTTCCCCGCGCTTTAAGCAGTATGGTTGTTTTTAATTTAAGTTCTCAGTGGCTCTAAAAGGTAGCGTCTTTCATTCTGATCGGCCGATGTGATTACAATGGTTTTGGTTTTACGATACTCAATCGAAAAGCGCTCTATTACGCTTTGTAATTCAATTAGATGCAAACCAAAACCAGTTGTAGCTTGGTCACCAGCCTTCCCCCGCGCTTCAGAGAGTTTGTTCTCTTTCAACACAGATTTCTCA